CCACTGAATCTGCCGATTAATAACCGTCTTTTGTAATGTTGACTATCCCAATCACATGTTGGTGGGCGGGTGGGTGGAGTTAGTGTAAATAGCCTCTGTCAACAAGGTGGGCTATTTGCACTTAAAAATGATTTTTTTTTTATTCCCAACAGTTAAACAGTTGCCCACAGAAAAAAACAGGGGGTGCTGCAGCACCCTCAGCACCCCCACTTCCCGCGCCTATGGACAAAGATGTGGCGGAATGACTGGCACAGCAACATTAGGGGGAATAAACAAACTGAAGGAGGCTAATGAGGTGTTTTATACAAATTCAAACAGAGTCTCAGTGTGCAGGGCAGGACACACAGTCAGGCTGGCAGCAAAAACAGCTGTGTGGGTGGATGCGGTCGTTCATGGGGAGAATCTTGGCTCCTACTGCCCAATCAGGAGAGACATTTGGTTGAGTAACAGGTAGAGAAAGTGTCCTTGTAGAACCAGACCAACCATTCCTACTGCTGTAACACAAACAAAACACGCACATACACACTCACAGTGTATGACGCTTTGTGGGTACACTATTCCAGTATTCCAGCTGTGTGGTTTCTACCTGGAAATACCAGTCAGGGGGAGGAAAGAAGTTGTTTCTCATGCTGGAATAAACACTCCAAATACACAGGTAAGTATTTTACGTCAGTATCAAGAAAGAATTGGGCAACACTGAACACAATCTTTGCACATCACCTGCTGTTTAGTGTGCGTGTATGTGGGTTCCCCCTCGAACAAAGGTTCACTTCCATAACATGACCTACATTCAGACCAACAGGAATTAAATCAAAATGCCACAACATGCCTTTGAGTAAACCACAACAAGCCTGAGCCTGAGCCTGAGACAGAGAGAGGGACAGAAGAGCTACAAATCATTAAAGAAAAGGGTGTGTGCCAAAGCCTTGACTAAAATGACTCTAATAGCAATTACAGAATTAACATGTTGAAGTAGATCTCCCCCAAACCATATCAACCTCAAGTATCGTGGAGTAACTTGCATTAGCAACGTTGCTAAGTTGGCTAGTTTTAGTAGTGTGACAATAGCTCAGCCACATTTTGATTGAAATTGCTATTATATAAATAGACATGAAATGGCTGCAATATAACAAAGAGTGAAAAATTTAAGCGGGTCTGAATACTTTCCGTACCCACTGTATATATAAATCAATTGATAATTATAAACAAATTACAAAACTTGATTTTTCCAAAGGGTAACTTACTGTTGCATGACTTCTTACGGTACAAAAATGTCATCAATAAAGCAATATGATTAGATTTTATGTCTAAAGTTTAAATCTACCCAAGAGGAGCCATTCAGCCTGATGTTTTCGGTTATTATTCTGCCTTCAAAACTGATGCTCAAGCTGAAAACTAACACTGCTTTCCACAGCCCGGTTGTGTGGCTAATAGAGACTCTCTGTCTGGCAAATGGAATAAAGGAGAGTGACTCTGTATGACAAAATAGCAGCATGTCTAGTTGGTTCTATGTAAAATGGGGGGTTTATCTATTCAACACATTGAGTAGAGGATGTTTTCTTAACTCTTTGTCATCAGGGTAGCTCTTATAAAAGCACAGCGAGATAGAGAGGAAGAGTGCTGAGCAAATGTGGAAGCCCGAACCGGCCCTGTCAGCTCTCTGTGGAGATATCGGAGGAAATGAAACAGAAATCAAACCTCAAATAGGACTCGGGAATGTCTAGGGCATTTGAGAATCCCTCAGAATAAACCAGAGAATAGAAATAGAGAAGAGAAAGTAACAGACAGCTTCAAATAGCACACAGACTTCACCTCTGTCAGAAAGGAAGAGGTTGGCTGGCAGTGAAGGGGAAAACATGGGCCTCATTTGATGCTGTTCTGGATACAAGTCATTCACTGTGGATTCCTGCATGTGCTCAGAGATTCATTCTGTCGAAGTATGAATAGACCACAACATTCGTGCCTCATTCACAATAGCCTTCAGTGTTGCCTCTGGTTAAACCGGTGACCTTTCCCCTCTTTTGGGTTGAGGGGAGAAAGCCAAGGGCCCATTGCCAGCTTGGCCTCTAAAACAGGGTTACATGCCTTTGGGAAAGAGGTTAGCTGGGTGACAGTGTTTATGGAAATTAGTGAGAGGATATGAGGAGGAAGAAAAGGATCAGCAAGAACAGAGAGAAGACTGAAAGACATCGACTAGTATCTTGACTTTTCCGAAGCACCAAAAATGTCAAAGGTCATGAAAATGTCACTTCTCTCAAGGCAAAGCTGAAATATCAAGCCATTAACATGGCCTTTAAACTACCAATCAGGAAGAGGACAATCACCTGTTACTGCCCTCAGACTGGACAGCAGCCACTCAGCTCAGACACAATGAGTATCCCCTTTCTGTTTCACAACTTCTATTTTTTCCCCCAATGAATCTATCCAGGACAGTGTCTGGAAAGAGCTGTGTAAATATGAAATAAACAAATTAATTAATAAATTAGTAAATATAAAAATAATCTAATAAAAACTGGATATAGGTTTGGAAGGATATGAGATTGAGTAGAAGAATGCTGAGTTTTCAAAATCATCTGTATTACTAAACCAACCCTCTACATTGCGAGTAAATCACTCGCATATGCGACTAAATCTTCACTCTGGGTGACTAAATGATGTCTAATATTAGCCACTGGCTAATAAATTCTTAGATTTTACTAGCCAGTGTGTGAGTTGGAGGCCAAGTATAAGTTTAGCTCAGATATATTTTCATTCGCCGAACACACTGACTGAGTGCTTCAGAGTTTCACTCTCCGTCAAGCGATCCGAGATATTTTTCATTTCATCTCAATAGATGCGCAGCACATCTGAGTTTGTGTATTTGACATACTGTAAACTCTAGCTGTGAAGGCGCACAACTCGCTGTCGCTTTCTCTCACACCTTCACACATTCTTCAGCTTTTAGGAACTACCGGGTTCCGAGTTTGCTTGATTGACTGATGTTAAGAGTGTACTTTCAGATGTTTAAAAAGCTGTGCCATTTTACAAACACACACACACACACACACATATATACAGTATATCTGTGTGGAAACGTGCTGATATCACGTTTGGTCTCGTTCTGTATCGCGTATCTTGTCAGTGTCTGCGCTTGCTTGGCCATTTGTTGTGGAGAAAATAAGGAAAGTGTGTTCAAGCGCCAGCTTTATTATTAAAGGGGCAGAGATATTGTAATAAAGTAAAGAAACTTAAAAAGTGGAAATTTAATAATAGATGAAGCACTCAATATTCATAAAGCTCACTCTGAAAGAACAATAGCACTGAAAGGCATGAATCAGGATTACTAAAACACAGCCGAGTCACAGTGCTGATTTAAGTGGGACGATACAGCCAGGTTTTGTGCTGCGCTCAGCCCTGTATTAACCAGCTTTAGCTTTAGTATGGTTTAAACACAGCACAGGGTGTGGAGCTGGATACTGGATTAGATGAGATGGATAAAACACAGCAAAGAGAACATATAAAGGAACAGTTCACCTAAAAATTATAATTCTGTCATTGGTCAGAAAATGTTTCAAACCCATATGCTATTCTTATTTCAGTGGAACACAGCAGTAGAAATATTTGAAGAACTTTTCCACAGCTTTTTCCACATAACAATAAAAAAAAATTAAAGATCTATAGTACAATAACAAACAAATATAAAGATCACTATGTACAGTAGTGGTCACAATGTAGGGCACACCATGTTGGCACACCAAAAAATTGGATACAGGTTTGGAATGACATGAGACTGAGATGTAAATAAGCTGTTTTGGGATGTTTTGCATTAAAGGCAATGCTAATTCTTAGCAGTAGCAGTGATTTTGTGTAATGATTCTGGACAGTGGTGCGCAGTGGAATTCTGTATTGTTCAATTCCAGAATTCCAATAGAAAATCCATTGAAACACTTCAACATAATAGCGCACCTAATGTTCTCCAAACATTGAGAATGACTGGTTCCTGTCTGAGGCAATCACCACAGCTGAGCATGACTTTCAGAATGTTTTCTTTCTTTCTCTCAAAATCCCCTCACTGGACCGTGCCAACCCCAGCTGCATGTTATAATGAATCCGGTGGCTTCTTAGCAACCCTGGGTGACCCACTACCCTACATCCCTGAGAACACAGATGCTTTGAGATGCAGACGAGAAACGCAGAGCACTGACAGAACCGCAGACAATCCAAACACGTATGGGGAGAGGGCAGGGGGTGAACGCATTTGTCTTCATTTTGTAATGGTTTAAGACAAGCGTTTCCTTCTGTTAGCTCATAGGTTCACAGTGGCCATTCTGTAGCACCAAGTGATGAAAGAAATAAATGAATTTTGTGATTAACTGTGCTTGCGGTTCATTGTCCCTGGAACATAGATGGAAGGGAAACTATTGCACTGGTTTATGACTAAAACAACTGTTACTGCAAAAACAAGTAGGCCATACAGTGATAATATCTTTAGCATTAAATTTTCTAATTTATTAAAACTCAAGTGTATAAAATAGTATGTAGGTCAGAGAGTGAAGTTTGTTTTGCCAACTTGTTTTACCCCAAAATCAAAAACTATAAACAAGATAACTTGCAAAACAACTTCTGCAGAAAATGTTTCAGTACATTAAGGTTAAATGGCATACTCAGTTTTTTTTTTTTATGGTGCCGTGGCCGATATGATGACCAATGACACAACCATGTGACTAAAGGGCTAAAACTTTTTAAATGAGAAAAAAATATCTAATTCCACCTGACCCAAAAACGTATTTCATAGTGCTAATGACTGCCAGATTCACTCATTGGGATTAAATGCCAAGGCAGTAAACATGCCAAGATGAATTAAATCCATGGTGAAAGTATGTTTAAACAAATCTTAAGAATTTTCTAGTGACAAGCGATTTAATGAAATTGTTGGTCATTCTAGAAAACAAACACAGCTGTAGAAAGGCAAATGTACAATTTAGGCTGTATGTGCAGCAAACCTTTCAGACTGAACTTACCATGTCTTGTTCTTGAGAGACTTGCCGCTTACGTAGTTCCTCCATTCGATCGCTGACTTCACTGAAGTATGTGTTGTAGTACTCCGAGTACTCTTGAGCCAGGTCATCTACATTACCCAGAGAGCCATCCTACAGAAACAGAGATATACGTAAGACAAGCTTTGATGGCTTTTCATTAAAAAATGTAATCTGATACTTTGCAAATAAATTCCATCTCTCATTAATAAGCCTCCCTCCCCTCACAATTTCAGAAACACAAACAAACACAAGTGGAGCTGTAGGAGAGCTTCATTAAAACTTTTTTTTGCACACATCTGCTGCGACGAGGCAAACAGTCACACACAAGCTGAACTAAACATCTAACCCTCACATTCTATTACTTTTACTCCACACATGATACTCTGGGCTGAGACCACAGGATTTTTGCTGGGCTTTTGTGAATTTGTGTGGTTATAATTTCCATGCTAATGGTTTACAGAGAAGTTGTCAGCTTGTTGAGATGGGTTTCTTGTGCCACATATATATGGGCCAAGGATGGCTCAATCTTATAAACCAGTCAGTAATGTTTCACATTGAGAGCCATGATTTTCCAAGAAAAAAGGTGTAATTTATAATAATTTAATATAAAATTAAATAATTTTTGTTTTTGAAACCAAGTTATTGGTTCTTTTTTGTAAAGAAAATGTATTTATTTATTTAATTTTTTTTGTGGTGGAGCCAGAAAACATTTTTACAAGGCAAGTTAGTTTAAGCTTTCATGCCCTGGTGGCATTTTCTGTGCAACACATATCTTTATAAACTCAATACACACAAGCGAAGAAAGGCCTCTCTTACTGCCCAGCCCTTACGACCTTCCCTGACCTTTGCAGCTGTCTTGTTGTAAGTGGACATATTCAACTGTGGTGCTGCCTGGCTCTGACTTCAGTGTGAGTGAGTGTGGGTGTATCCTATTTTTCTACAAGCTCGTGACATACACGTAACAGCAAATGACCTCAGACTGCTGCAAAAAGCACATACAATAAGAAGGTCCTTTACGCAAAACTAGAGATTAGCTTCTTTCAACTTCTTTAGAAAACTATTAATACCCCAGCAGCTGCAGGTGGCATAGTTTTTTTCCTAAATGGAAGAGTTACATTTAAGAGCATGTTTGTTGTATCTAAGTTCTAGGCTAGGCTGGATCTCTCCTGCTGCTGTAATAGATGCCATTTAAAGTCCTGATGAATGAAAAGTCAAACACAATGGCCTTCTTCCTGCTCAGGACCATACTGACAAACAAATACATCCTGTCATTGTGTGTACGGACCAAAGGTAGGAAGACCAGGGCCTCACACCCACCCACTGGTAAAACTGTTGTGTATTATAGACATGGACTTAAGCAACTAGGGCTGCGCTTGTGAACGACAATAAAAATCAATTCAGGCTGAGGACATACAACTCATGATAATGCTGTTGATATGATATTGAAAACTCATTTTACTAGAGTAGTTTGAGTTATAAATAAACAATGTCTTATGAATAATATTCACAGGGTTAAAGGTAAAAGGTTTTCTCGTTCTTCACAAAATGTCTCTTAACCAATCTGTTCCAACAAAACTCCAAACACATGATCTCAGAATACTGAAACTCCCAACGGAACGCTGCTCTGTGTGAGAAATCCCAGCTTTTGCATTCCAATCTGCTGGCCTGCAAAGCACATCCAGCTTTTAGACAAAACATGATGTGAATATGTGAGATTTGTTAGATGTGTAATATAAAAAAACAGAGTCACATCCTCCTTCCTCTAGGATACTTGATAAAGAGAGATAGAACAGCTGAACTAAGACTAAATAAAAACTTTACAACAGCAACTAGGCCACAGGCTTTTTTCTGTTGCCATTAGCCAAGCTTTTTCAAGTACATACTGTTGGTTGGGATGGTAATGACAAGCCAGAAGCTGTGCTTAGCTCTGAGTGATAGGTGGAAGGGCCAAAACCTTCATCCAATAACATATTCCAGTCTTAATCTGGTCTCATAACTTTATATAATTTTATTATATAGAAAGCAGACACAAGCAAGCAAGAAATCAAGAGAAAAAAAAGGATGCACTGAGGGAACCACTTTTTGTATATGAATATAAAAATACATTTTAACTCAAACTTGCAATTTACTAACAGCAACTAAGGAAAGAAAATATACATATACAACAGTTCTTTCTGGTCCTCGAATCTGATTGGCTGAGAGGAGTGTGATATTCTAGTGATAACACAGCTCCAACTGTTTCACCATTTGTATCACTCTGCTTCTAGTATTTCTCACAGCAAGTGTCATGGCGGACGCCCCAATCCACAACAATTTTATAAGTAATACTGTTTTTGTGTCACGGAATGTAGTTTTAAGAGTTTTTTTGACAATAATGTACTTGTTTAGACTTCAAATATGTGGTTTGTTAATAAAAGAGAAGTCTATTTGAAAATTTGCTTCAACATTTTCGGAGATGTGAGCTCCAGGGCATCTGCAGGTGTTCAGCGCTCATGAACCAACCAAGAGCAGCCTCACCTCGGCCAGATCTTCTTAGAATTTGCCACTGGCTCTGATTGTCTCTATAGTGGTTAAACATGAGATATAATTTGTTTTGGGTAAATCTAACGGGCAGTCTAATGTATCATTAATCTAGTATTTGTTCCAGAGCAAATCGTTTTGGCTAAGGGCAAAATCTCATCATGTTATAGTTTATGTAACTTTAATGCTATATATCAGAGCGCTGCCTTTGTGCTTTTGACTGAATTGCCTAGCAACTTTTATTATGGCTGTTGTTGTTTATTAAATATTATTATTCAATAAATAATATTTTATATAAATAACAGTAGTATTTAATAATATTATTTAGTATTAGGAAACAGCGTGTGTGTTCGTGATGGTGATTTTAGTTACATTATTCCGTCATTAGATGGTGACAAGAGACATTTTTATGAGTGAGTCAGCAGTAAAGACTATTGAAAGAGACTGAAACAGGGTTGTAAACAAGGAAGTTATTTTTACTTTCTTTCAACAATAGCTGTAATATGCAGCCAACAAATGCACCGAGCAGTGCTGTCATCAGAAATCACCCTTAACAGGTGAAAGGATAGTATGACAAAAATATTGCTTTCCTCCGCAGACATTCATACTAATGTTTTATTGTGAATATGAGATTGAGCTAAAGAATGAATGCTGTATCAGATGCAGGTAATCACACTCGCTCAGTCTATCTCTCTCTCATAATACTCTACACTACATAATACAGTGAGCTTTTAATAAAGTAATAAGCTTTCAAATGAAGCAACTCAACGTTCTTTCATTACTAGTTCTAAAGTGACATTTTCAAATTAGTAACAGAGGCTTGGGCTCAGCTGTTAAACTGTCAACATGAGATTTGAATCCATGGTGGAAAGAAGTACCGTATTGACCCGAATATAAGACGCTATTTTTTCTTGGAAATATATCTGAAAAAACGCAGTCGTCTTATATTCAGGGTCTAGACTTTGCCATGTCAATAATACACCCACAACAATAGGTGGCGCCAAATACACATAAAACGAGTGTGCCATGAAAAACAATGTAATGCGTGTTGAAAAGATCGCGAGTAAAAACAAAAGAATAAGAAAACCTTACAGCTGCATGAGTCGTGACTGTCACGATTGCCTGATGGGACCAAACTCCCTTTGTGATTTTAAAACGTAAGACAGTACCCAGATTTGAAGACTACAGTAAGATTTAACTTCTACTGTTAATAAGATTTTGGTAGGCTACTATTAGATGGATAGCCTAAATGTCCTAATTCATTTAGGTGTAGATCCGCCGACGCGTTCGCGAGATAGTGACACCAGTCAACACTTTCACTTCAGTAAGGAGGTCTCTTGTTCAGGCAGCAGCATTCAAGCATGGTCTTATTCGACCGTAAGTGCCCTGTGAAGTGGACTACACATGAAATTCCACCATGATTCCAGTTCAGTAAGACTACAGTAAGATTTAACTTCTACTGTTAATAAGATTTTGGTAGGCTACTATTAGATGGATAGCCTAAATGTCCTAATTCATGTTTTTTTTGATATGGCATATCAAAAAGTGTATATATTTTTTAAATGTGATTATTGGTACATTTTACCAGTTTTTACCATACTTTCAAAACAAAAATTCAAATAGGAAAAATATGCAATATGAAAATAATTGAAGACAAAATGTGTTTTACTGAGAAAAAACAAGATTTGGTTTTTAAAAAGCCTTTTTCCAAAAGGTACATCTGGAAAAAGGGAGGTCGTCTTATATTCGGGCCAATACGGTAGTTCTGCACAAAAGAGGTTTTTTAAAAGACACACCGTTGTTGTTTCTTATGTATTTACTAGAGCCCGACCGATAAATAGTTTTGCCGATATTATCGGCCGATATGAGCATGTTGCCGATATATCGGTATCGGCGAAGATGCTGCCGATATGAATTTATTTTTACAGAACATATAACGCAGATAAAATGCTTGAAATGGTGTAATTACTTAGTTTGTCCAGCAGAGCGCGCTCCATTGTTTGCTACTGGTGACCTGGATGAAACGCTTTAAAGCTTAGGCTATAGAAAACCATTGATACTTTGAACGGCCATATCTCCGTAACGGCGCGGCGAATCCGCACCAAATTCGGGGGATCCCTTCAGCTCGAGGAACCCTCTCAAACGTGAATCGAGTGTACGTCTCCGACCGATCACGCAATCCTAGGGGGCTACTGACGCGTGGAGGGTGGCATTCGAGAGGGCTCCTCGAGCTGAAGGGATCCCCCGAATTTGGTGTAGATCCGCCGACGCGTTCGCGAGATAGTGACACCAGTCAACACTTTCACTTCAGTAAGGAGGTCTCTTGTTCAGGCAGCAGCATTCAAGCATGGTCTTATTCGACCGTAAGTGCCCTGTGAAGTGGACTACACATGAAATTCCACCATGATTCCAGTTCCAAGGGAATGCACACGTTACATTCAAAGGGCATTAAAGTGCGCGAGACGTGAATTTATATTGTATTTATTTACAGAGGTACATTATGTCACACTTCTCTAGTAAGTTTCATCTGTGTGTGAAGACAGTAGCGCAAATCCATTAATGAATGTTCCGAAGTGAAAAACTTCAACGGA